TAATTGAAAATAAAATGAAAGCAATTTAAATTGGAATGAAAAAAAAATATAAATGTGTTTAGTATTGAACACAGAACGTTCGCTTGATACAGTCGACACGTATCCACAGAGCCACATCAGTACATGATTTGCACTAAACTATATGACTACTTGTGCAGAGTGTGTTTCTTTTTTCAAATGAACCGTCGCTCTTTCAATGTACACATTTTGCAATTTTATTAGGACAAATGTCATGAAATATAATACATTCTTTTTTCTAACATAATTCAAATGTGGTATTTTGTTATTTGGGCCAATATTAATACATATGTACATTATTTCACTGTTTTTTTTTGTTCTTCAATAATTTCAATGGACAAAATATTTAGGACTATTTTTTATTCTCAAATACAGATAAAATTAACTTAGCTGTTAGCAATTATTGTTAATTTTAAGCACAAATGATAAAATATATAATTTTTTCGCAAAATAAAATAAAATAATCGAATGATTTTTTTTAATCGACAAATTAAAATCATTTCTTCATTTTCTATGATTGTGAAGGAAATATCCTAGGATATTACTACATCTACGCTGCCCATCGAATTTTTGAAAAATTAAAAAGGGGCACTTTTTCATTCGATCCTTTTTAAACAATTATTCTTAATGTTTGTAGCATTCTCTGAATTTGTGGTAACAACTCTGAAATATCTTAATAAATTCTTTGGCAGCAAGAAAGGTATGCAAGTGGTCATGTTAATATGGTCAACAGTTAAAAACCATACGTTTGGAAATAAGGGGAAACAAATAAAAATCGTTTCATTCATCATATTTTAATAATATTCTGCATTACTATTGTAGAGAATATTCTGAATAAAATAAACGGTAACCCAAAGAATTGTAATCACTATGACTTTGTATTGTTTAGTAAGTTTGATAATCAAGCCCGTGAATTCACAATGTTAACATTACAATCAAATTATGTTGTCAAAGAGTTCGAAAACCATGTTGAGTTATTCATTTTCAATAATTAGTAATATAAATTCAAAGTATTTTTGAGATTTGTTTGCTGCGGTTGTTGAATATTGTTTACCAAACTATATTGAAGTATATTTATTAGACTTACTAGTTTCGCATGTAGTAATATCGCTTAAATTATCTCCATTGCCTTCTTCACAACCACTAGAGTCTGGCGAAGTAAAGGTAAGGTGATTTCGATTGATTTTATTTAGATCATCCTGAGAAACTAAAAGATCGTCGTTAATCAAACCATTTATTGGTTCTTGTTTTAAAATAACTTTATTGCAAGTAAATGTCGACATATTTTCCGATAACTCGGTATTTTCCGATAATTTTGATGCACTTTCTGATTTGCACTGAGTATTCATCAGAGGTTTCTTGTGTGGTTTTGATAATATGTTTTCTATAGAAAAACTATTTTTCATCATCACCGTATTTTCAGAGTTCATTCTGATAATTAGATATGACAAATTCCAGAAGTATTAAACTTATAATATCAGACTGTACTATAACTTTTATTCTATTATTTCTTTTATTGTAAATAAACAACACGATGATCTCTCATTGATCAGAACTGTAATCTTGATTGTAACTAGCGATACGCTGCACTTGAAATGTTAAACAAAACTAATAGATGATCCTGTGAATTTTTTCACTTCAAGATGAAAATTTGTCACCATTTTTACTGAAAAACGCGCGGAGATTCGTGGATTTTCGTTTTACGAAGATGAAAACGTACGTACCGATCAACAAAGACATAGTCTGCTTGATCAACCAAAATTATGATATTTCAACTCAACGCCATGAAAAAATCACGATATATATATTTTCTTTTGGGTAAGTATAAGAAAATTGTGAACATTCAACGCCCTTTTCGTGTAAAATAGGCGGAGACAATTTTAACATATATCCATAGTCCGTTCTGGATAAATAACAGATTTAAATTGAGTCACTTATATCGCCAAATTTCAATCATCGAAAACATTTGTAGCTTCGAGCTGGTGAAATCTTTTCTCGAATGAAAAAAGAAAAAAAAAATGTAATTGCCAAGAACATCGTTCAACGATCCTTCATTCAACAATTTAGTCTTTCATATAGGTTACACAAACTTTCAGTTTATTTTTCTTCCTTTTTCTTTCTTTTTCTCTATCCGTTCAAGGAAATCAGATAATTGAGCATAGCTCAAAATTAACTCATTAAATGAAGCGCCAGAAAAGCGTACCGTCAAAATGATCACTTTAAAACAAGGAATATTGTGAAGAGAAAAACAGAAAAAAAAATCATAATATTGTCAGAATAATCGCGGAAAACAAGTAAAACATAAAATCATTACGACCAATTAACTTTTACATGTGTGGGGCAAAATGACTATGTGAGAAAATTATGAATACCGTTTCCACACATTTGATTGGCTATAGATGAATATTAAAAACATATTAAGAGAAAAGAGAACATGAAGGATTTTGCTCGAGATAATAAATTTATTAGGTTAGTTTCATGGAATGGAATTCGTCGCGCATGCTTTTGGGCTAATGAGTATTTTTAAAAAAGAAAAAAAAGAATAATCTATACAAAGAAAAACTTGGAAAGAAAAATGTCAAGAAAGGAAAAACGACACATAACTGTCGAAAAATTTTAATTGGAGAATTTACATAAGTCTCAAGCTATTTTTTTTTGTTTTTTACTTCATCACAATCATATGCAGTTTGTTGTTCTTTTCGATGTTTTTATGCATGGTATTGCTTTTGTATTAGCGTCAAATTTCCACAAGTAAAAAATCAAGTCGGTGCATATACAACTAGTGAAAAACGCACTTCTACATGGCGCATCATCAAGCAGCTAATTGATTTATTTCTCCTTATTTCATTTTACTTTCTCAATTTCTCCTACTTTTTCCTTTCTTCTCATCTTTGGCAGTCTCGTTTCTGTGCACCGGATCGAAGCTGTTGATGTTGCTGTTCATGTGTCTTCATGATTATTTTACATCTAAATAACCAAAAACAGAACATTTGTTCATTGACTTGATATCGTAGTTATGTCGTTTCATTTTTTTCTCATTCATTCTTTGCTGCTTTTTTTTCTATCTCCTCTTCCTTTTCTCCGCATTCTTCATTAAATAATTGTTAGTTATATGTTGTTTGACATTTTTGTGGCAACAAATATTCAATTGTATGTGGTTCGGTCGCTTTTTTTGTTTGTTGTTGGTTTGACTAATGTAATTAACACGCCTTTTTTCGAGCTAATTAGCAGGACTCAGGGAAAAAATTTAAAGTGTTAAAAGCAAACATTTTTATGGCAATTATTTATCAAGAGAGATATAAGCGTGTGGAAATGATGATGAGCTGAATGCTCTTCTTTAACATCGTCATAATCTGAAATTAAGGAAATCTGAATGTCATAAATCATTGCACAATATGTATAATTGAGAAGAAGCGGAAAATACAATAGTTTTACGTTTTTACAACCTTTTTTAAAGCAGATCTTTGACTCGTGCAATAGTTTGAGAGGATCTTCTGGCTGGCTCAAAAATATCTTTTAAATATGTTAATAAAAATATGTATTTACGGTTTGTTTTGATCCAACAGATGACGATTTCGTAGCATTCTGACAAACATTATCAGTTTTGTCTTTTGAATATTCAATCATCTATAATCATTTCCTTAGATGTTCATTAGCGCAACGAACACGTTCACATTTCATTTCATTCCATTTAATTATCTCATTTGACAATTTCTACCAATTAAAAAGAATTGATTCAACGAACAGATTTTTCGTTTAGAGTTGAACTTATCGCGCTAAATATCTTCTTTCAGTTGACATCAGTGAGTAATTGCTAAAATTTATTACACTTCCATTATTTTTGGTTGGTTTCGTTCTATGTTGTCACATTTCATTCGAAACGTTCTTGTTAATTTTGTTGGTATTATTGGTGTGGCTGGTCTGATGTTCGTTCATTTTGTGCACCATATACTAACGTTGAGTCTTTTTCGATCGCCTCTATTACCAACGAAATTAAGTATAAAGTCAAGCGAGAAATATATTACTTTTACTTTTTTGTTGGTGTTTCATTAAGAATTCAATTGACATGCGAGCGAAAGAAAATTCAATCACACTACACTAATTAAGGTAATTATCAGCATTTATAAAATGTTTGCTATTTTACTATGTTGTCACAGTTTTAACTCGAAGAGCTATACAAAATCATTACCATATGTTTTATGATGTCAGTGTACGTATATTGCTGTTTGTCGTTTGCAAAAACATCAAAGGCTTGGTGTGCTCTTGAAATTTCATGATATTTACGAACTAAAAAACGAAATTGAATCTCCCAATCAATCTATTTGCAGTAAACAAAAAAAAAATTGGATTCAATTAAAAATCGTTGGAATCTCAATCAAAAACTTCCATTTTTAATTATTATTTTTGCTTTCTCGGAATAATCGCTCGATCATTATTGATTTTATGTAAAATTGTACATTGTTAAGTGTATACATTCTAACGAGTTCAAATTCAACGATTTTTTTTAAATTGTTCTAACTGTAAATCGACTTTGACTTTCTAATCCTACGATTTTGGTCCAAGTATGATTATAAACTAGCTAGAGCAAAATTAAATGGTTTATTTTTTTAACATTTGGAAAGAATTTGCATTCTTTCGTGATGACTCTTTATGGATTCAATTACCGTTCTCCATGATAAATATTATGAATACTTTAGTATAGAAAAAGTTGAGAAGTTTTTTTTTTAAATTAGTATTTGATTTTTAAATACTCACCAAACCTAGCATTTTACACAAAAAAAATAAAATAAATAAATGTAAATGAGAGTTTCGAATATTTGAGCGTATAATTGTTTTCACAAAAATTTCTTCTAACTAACTTAATGCATGAATTAAATGTTCAGTGCTCAAAAATGTTGATGCTTAAAATTGGATGTATACAAAGAATGTATTTTTGGTCAATCGAATGTGGATGTGTGATTATTTGAAAGACTTTTAATTGATACATTATAAACAGTGTTTCGTATTGAAGTATGTTTTTCGACAATTTTCTCTAATAAGTAGAATTTCGGTTTTTGTTGTGAAATTGATATGTTTATACATTTGGAACAATGATTTAATAAATATGTTTAATGTTAATGCTTAATATATAAATGAACTTTAGTTGGTTATTTTCTTTCAACACAAACATTTTTATAGCAAACGCTGTCATAGTTATCTTATTATTTTTATAAACATAACAATGCACGAACGAACATAAAATGTATGAGAGGGACGGAGCTATTATCAACTAGAATGCTCTACACAATCACAATTTATTGCTTATTTTTTAGTAATTGTTTGTGATCAAAAGTGTTATGAACTTTTTTTATCTTTTTCTATTAATAATTTAGTTTTTTCAAAGATAATCTAGGATATTAGGAATTCATCTATTTTATCGAAATGTCAAATTGACACATCAAAAAAGCCTTATGACGAATATTAATACATATAAAAATTTTGTCAACTCATTTGCTTATAACAATCAAAATAGAAAAATAAATAGATTGACGGCGCTTCCTCAACGATAATAACAGACATTTTAACGAACCAAATAGTCAGTTTTTCATCACATTTCAATTTTTTATGATACTTATTGAATGTAAAGGAAGAAAGAGTAGAATATGACATATGTTTGAATTCATCTTTTTAACATTTCCTCCGGTTTAACATGTGTACCAAATAACTGACTATTTCGCATCATCTGGACTGAATCACGAGACGATAGATAATATAACATATGCAAGATTTTTTTTTATTGAAACGGAGATAGAAAGTGTAAAATATAATAAGCTACCGTGTGTAATATCTTAAAATTGAATGAATTTATTTGGGTTTAGAAGAACAAAAATATCATTTGCCGCCGGTTTTGATCACAGTTGATTTGCTTTCGAAATGTTAATTTATCGATTTGTTTGATTAATAATTTGTTTTTGATTAGTATTTTGTTGGAATGCAGCAAAATAGGTGATTTTTTTTATAAGTGAACACTTGGGCACTAAATCTACTTATTATCATAATTGATCAGTGTCGAAATTAGGGGAACGTTATAGAGTTTTGTGTATGCTTTAGTTTTGTTTTGATATAATCTCTTCATTTTACATGACAATACAGCATCGTCTTGATCGGGTGCTGTCACTGACCACATCACTTGTCACACCACTGAACTTAGTTATGGTTGCCGCTGATTCATCGTGCATCAGTTCATTTGTCGATGATGACAAAAATGACATTTCCATCGATGGACCAATGCTATTGGCTGCCGTTGTTATACTCGGTGCTATTAGTGAGCCATTCTCGGATACAGCGCTATTACGTGATTGTGCTCGTTGCTTTTTCAAATTGGCCAAGGTTGTTCCTGCGTGCGATTGATCCATCTTATGAGTGTCTGATGAGAAATTTGCGCCCAAATTACGATATCACATATTTACAAAATTCACAAAAGACGATTTGTTGATATTTGTGCATAAAAATGTGCATAAAAAAATTTGAATACAGTTTCAAATGTGTGGTTGTGTGTTTTTGGTGAAAGGTGAGGGATAAACATAGCAGATATGAAAAGATATGAAAAAACACAAAATAATCAGTTTCATTTGCACAGATTTATTATTAGCATTAAATTATTTTTTATTAATTAAAAATTAGTCGGTTTTTTTGGTCATGCTTAAAGCTATAAAATTAATATTTTTTTTTGTTAATTTAGCCGATCCAGTAGCTGATTAATATACAGCCGAAATCACAGTGTATAACACAAATTACATACATAGAAAATATGACGATGGGAATAATGATGTGATTTAAAAGGAAAGCTTGCTATTGAAAAATGGTTTTCAGTATGAAAATTAAATATGCATTTATTGTTTTTTGTGTTCGTCAGTGTTTTTCAGTATCCTAAACTCGTTAATTAGTAGTTTCAAATCCCAAAAAATGTGTTGCAGTATGCCGCATATATATTCAACCAAAATAAAAAGAACCCCAAATTCTAGATACGCTTATTTGTGAGTTGTGTACAATTGATAAAAACAATGATGTGAATCAAAACAGAAAAAAATCATAACCGAAAACCAATTAAACTCAATAGAATTGAATGAAAACGAAACGAACTGAAATAATAAGAAAACTCACCAACAAGCACGGTGACTTGAACATTAATTTTGCCATTATCATTAGAAGCAGAAAAAATCTCGGTAGATATATCGTTACCAATTCTTTGGTGTTGTTGGTCAATCAATTTGTTATTCGGATCGTGGTAGTTTGGTTGCGACTCCTTCGATGGCTTACTATCTTCTAAGCGAAGCGAATCGTTATCTTTTCCTTCTGGTGATTTTCGCATCACACTACTGCCTTCATTCTCATATGATGATGAATTTATGCCAATAGTACTTTCATAGTGTGAATTATTCGTTTTCGGTATGGTCCTTTGCGTTGAATTATGAACTGTAGAAAAATAGATTGTTGACGAATCACACGGTGTCGAATATTAATTAATTTATTTTCGAGAATTACCTGCATTGTAAGATGTGTTACTGATTAACGCCGTTTTATTATTTCGACTTAAATTATTGTTATTATTGTTATGACTGTTATTTATGTTACTACTGGAGTTATTGTTATTACTATTTTGCATGCAACAATGAGGCAAAATAATAACACGAAGACACAAAAATGATAGAAAACAAGAAACAAATTAGATAAATGTGATGAAATTGGAGTAAATTATATGTATTATATTTATTTTACTTGTTATGACTGTGATGTTTGGTGTTTGTTGACAATCGGTTGCCGGTGGTGTTGACCGAATCTGGTTGATCAACTGCTGATGAAATTGAGTTTGGTTCAGTACTGGATATATTATCCGCTGGCGCAGTGTAACCCTTTACAACAAAAAAATCATTCAAAATGACAAAAGAAGAAAACCATTTACTTTGATTTATTTAAACAATATATCATTTTCCTAAAAAGTTAAAATATCTAGAAGATATTACAATTTACTTATTGTTTTATAAGATATTATTAGATTTAACTGATAAAGAAAGATTTTGTAAACCCCCTTACTCCTATAGCGCACATACAAAAAAATGAATAAGAAGAGGATCAATGGCAACACAGAGTAGCAAAAAAGCAATATTCAAATTGTGATCGCCCTTCGATTGAAAATTAATGCGTTTTTATTTTAAAACTTTTGATTCATATATATATTATCATTATCGTTTTCCTTTAAAAAAAAACCACATTTAATTTATAGCCGCTTACCTTGTAAGTCATGCCAATGATATCTGACTCGCCGTCAGTATAGCGATTTAAGTCGAAAAACCACCGCATTATTTCTCTTTTAAAAATATAATGCAACTAATAATTATAACACAAAATAATAAACGTTTGTTACAGCTATGCGTTGTTTCGTTTTATTTTAGTTTTTCGTATTTGGCCAGAGTGTGTTTGATTTAATGAAAATAACTGTGGTATTGATGGGTTTGGTATTTGTTTGTAGAAAATCGATTTGAGCTAAAAACAACTAATGAAAACCACTGCAAACATACTTAACGAATAGAAAAACTAAATACATATTGTATTGTTTTTATTTGAGTAATCGACGTTTTGCACACACAAATCACTTAAAATTATGAATGTTGAAAATACAATTGAATTGAATTACGGCAAAAGAAACGGTTTGTGCGTTCGCTAAATTCGAATGTTGTTGATCATATGTTGTTGGGTCTAAGTTTTTTAGAACCTGATAAGCCACCGCTCTACCGGAAGCCTTTAATGCACACGTTAATCGCCATTTGCTAATTTCACTAATCGGTGAATTAAATTGGAAGAGTTAGTCTGAATGCATGATTGTATGAATTTGAACGTTACGTTTAACTCATCAATTTTGGTGTCAACGCTGAAATCATTCTCTATTTTTTGATAGTCAAAAGTTCAAATACATTACTTTTTATATGCGTATAACATTAATACATTGCGTTTTAAATTTTTGGTATTACTATCATTCACTGTTTACAGACACTATTCAGTTATTATTAAATTCCATAAATTTTCTGCAACTTTTATGACTAGAAATTTGTTGACTAGTTTTGTATTCCTTAATAGAATTAAATATGGGCAACATCATGAGCCACTAAGTTGTGCAACGATTATACATGTGTATGTATTAGTGTATTAGTGAATTATATCCTGCACAAGTATTTTTTAAATATATCGAACCGTATTCTTATCTTATTACAAGTAGGCTTTTCTTTCTCTTCTGTATACGACATTTTGGTTTTCTATATTTTTATGAAATAGCATCATTCTTGATGTTTGTTTAACCCAATAAATTCCACTTGGTGAAAAATTGGATGAAAAGAAAAATATTGCTATAGTTTTTTCAAAAATAGCACGTGTATTTCAAAGACTGCGAGTGGTCTTTACGGTTTGGCTATTAAAAATAGACTAATTAACTTTTTTCATGAAAAAATTGTGCTAATCGAAAAAAGTACGGGATATTGTAATGCGTTGCGAAAGCCATGAACACCACATTCACTCAGTTCGTTTTTACTATGATTGGATGAACAAACAATTAGTAAAATCTACTACTGAAACGCCATCGACATCGAATTTATTTGCGTTGCTTCGCATATGAACAATACAACACCTATCATCTCCGCCGCCCATGCAGCTGAATTTAAAAGAGAGTAAAACGCAACTGGCAGCGATTTTTGGTTTTTTGTTTTTTTTTCGAAGTTTTTCTTTTGACTTATTGGAAATTATTGTTTGCGCTTGAAAAACGCAAGAAACACGCGTGTATTTATGTATATTTATATCATGTGCATTTTCAGAGCATATTTTGTTTCGTTTTTTCGTAATTACTTACAATACTTTCGTACAACAATCACCAACTTAATATTTCTTGCAATTTCTTCAAATGGTAGTATGTTTTTTTTTTAAGTTTCATCTAAATGGGGTCGTTTATGGGGTAGATATATGTTCTTACCTCTTGAGCTCTGAGTCTAAGCCGAGTCTCTTCTTGTGCATCCTTCTTAGTAGTTAAAGTTTTATCTCGCAGAGATGTCCGACGCACCGATTGTGCTCTGTTAACAACAAAAAAAAGAATATATGGAATGTAGTGATTGTTCAATTAAAGTGATTTTTTGTTCAATAAGTTCATTATTTCATAAATGTATGGGCAATTTTTGTCACATACCGTGTGTTGTTGCTTTGTGAGCGACGAACTCTTCGTCGTTGTGCCTCTGCCAAGCGTTTACTTTCTTGCTCTGATTTAAGTTGTTCAATTCGTTCTCGAATTTCCATGTCTTCGCATATATCTGAATATGATATTTAGAAAAAAAGGCTATCAATATTTTTGCTATTTGTTTAATTTTCAACTATTTCTATCAATATTACAAGTACAAACCAAAAATCAAAGCGAAAATTTTTAAGGTTGTAAAAATAAAAACTTGACTTTACCTGAAGGTGTTTCATCGTTTTTGTTCTTGGCATTTAGATCGGCACCACTCATTGCAAGCATTTCAAGAATTTCCATCTACAATTGAATAACATATAAATGTAACGTATAACGTTTATAAATATATATATAAAACATATAACGTTTAGCATCGTAACGAATTAGTCATCAAAAATTTCTTTATACATGTTATTTTATGGTAAAATGTGTATATTACATGTCCCCAACAGGCGGCTGCATGAGCTGGAGTCCATAGATCTTTGTCAACAGCATCCACTGCAGCATGATTTTCTAAAAGAAATTCAACGACTTTTGAATATCCGTTTGCGGATGCCACATGTAACTGTAAATTATTAAAATGTCATTAGAATTTGTTTAACGTTTCGATTAAATTTCATAAAGAAATTAAATAAATTCTCATCGTGGCTTACAGGTGTTGCACCCTGTTTGTCAAGAACATCAATATCTCCGCCATTATCAACAATCACTTGCAAATCATTGAGCATTTGATTTTCAGTTGATGCCCGTGTTTCATCAATAAGTTCCTGTGTGATGCCACGCCTTGACATTTCAGCCTCAATACAATCGAGCGTCTCTTCGTCATCGCATAAATCGTACGGCATGTTTCCATCAACATTCACAGCAAGCAAATTGGCACCACGACTTATCAGTAATTTAACGAGATATAAATGTCCACACGTTGCAGCTTTTGGCATTTAGAAATATTTGTTTATGAATAATAAAGAAATTATGGTTATGAATATATTACAAAAATTATATTACCTGCATGCAATGGGGTCCATTTTTCGCTATCTTGTGCATTTACATTTGCTCCATAATCTAATAACAGTCTTAGCATATCGGCATTGTTATCAATACAACATTGGTGGAGTGGGGTCAAACCGTCGCAATTGGTGACGTCAGCCGAAACTCCTTGCTCAAGAAATCGGCCCACTTCTTCGATGTCATTACGAGCGGCTGCCTCTAGCACAACTACACTATTTTCAAATGAAATATGACGACGTTTTCTTATATTTACATTATTTGTACTACGATCACGACGAGCTTGCTGTTTTAACCACTCTTTTTCGCGTTGTTTAGCCACTTTTAACTGATGAGCACGACGTCTGTAAAATTTTCGTATTAAATCAATAATAAATGAAATGATTAGGAAGTTGATTTAAAACAAAACATTGCAATTACATTCGTGCAAGATGTAGACGATCCTGTGTTGACAAATGCTCCACTTGAACCATTTCAGATACCAAATCAGCGTGATCCATTTTCATTTAATTCTGTGCTTTTTTTTATTTTTGAATATGTTTAAAATATTGTTGCGTTATGTATTTAAGTATAGATGTATGCTTTATTTTTATTAGTTGTTTATTTTCCAGTCTTGATGAGCTATATAGTAACAAATCTACGGCGGTGCATTTTATTCCTGGTAACGGAGTTTATCATTTTACTCCGTTGTACTCGCATCTATAATTTCATTCAAGAATAAAAATGTATATATAATTATTAATTAATCGACTAAACAATCTTTAAGTAAACATTTTCTTCAAAAATGTTATTGTAAGAGGGTTGACTACTTTTACTATTCGAAATTAGTAGTTCTTTCTCGTACATACAAACGAAAAATGTTACTTTGCGAATGGTTTACAACTTTAGATTGTACTATATACATGAAATTATAGTTTTGCATTTTGCGATATCGTAATAAATTTTTATTTGGATGATAATTATTATGTTCTATATCGTTATTAGGATCGGATCCTAGTAACGTTATTATGATTTTATTAACTTATCATGATAAAATCATAATAATGTTATTAGGATTACATCCTAATAATTATTATGTTTTATCATAATATTTATTAGGATTGATCTTAATAAATACCGTGTTCACTTGATAGCATATTGTTATTCAGCCAAAAACAATTTTCAACAGATGGCGCTACTTCAGACAAGTGAAGTGTCCACGGTATTTATTAAGATGAATCCTAATAACATTATTATGATTTTATCATGAGATAAGTTAATAAAATCATAATAACGTTATTAGGATCCGATCCTAATAACGATATTGGTGGAAATGCTTATTATTATTAACTTATCATAATAATTTTTTATTACGTGCAAAACTATACATGAAATATCCCAAACTACCGAACGAGGGTCAATAGATTTTTGGAGATAATCGATTTCTGAACCACTATGTTCTGCTATAGCTCAGTTTTCTTCAAAAAAATTTCTCCAAGTACAATGTATTCCAAGTGAAATCTGTATTTGTTTCTTTTTTTGTTCTTTCTTTCCATTTTACTTGAACAAGAAAAAAGCGATATCAAAATAAAATATGGAAAACAATGGAATGATCGAAACGCACCAACAATTTTTATTTCATTGGTTTTTCTTTCTCGTGACTGAACTGAGTCCAAAACTGTATGTATGCACTGTAACAAATTTTACACTGTAAAGCAAAGAAGACGAAAACGATGAAAAAATTAAATATTTTTTTAATTCATGTACGTCTGAAAAGTAAAAACCAATTTCTTTTCGCCACTTTCTCAATTGTTAGATTCTGATTGGATTTTCATCAGTTTTCAAATCGAAAGCGGTTTTCGTTATTCGGTCAATTTGATCGCAGTTTGTAACTTAAGTTTTCTTCGGAATATATAGTTGTATAATTTTCCGTTAAAATTACCAACACTTTAATTGGCATATTTGCTATGTTTTCCCATCATTTTTTGCTGGGCTATTTTACAACGAAGAGAAAATATTTAGCAAAAACAACATTTTTTATTTATTTTCGTCTTTTTGTCTTCTCCATGAACCGTGATAAGCTGACAGGCAAGTACAAACAATTTTTCAACTCATTTTTATCGGACCAATCTATTTCTGTGTGTTCTGGAATACATTTGTGGCAGACGGGTGTTATATATTTCAATATCAAATTAAACTAGAATTTATATTGTCATGTAGTTTTGAAAATAATTGAACATTATGAATTCGGTTTGATTGCAAGATCCTGTTCACTTACAGAAACTCAGTTTAACTTTGAAAGTAATGAAATTTATGATTAAATTTTATGTTCGTTCTGAGCAAAATTCACATCAATTGTTTTGTTTCTGTTCCACATGAAATAATTTTATCGTCTACCCTATAGGGGACCCAGTTAACTATATTGCTGCAATGATGATATTAAGAAATCAAGAACAAGAACAAAAATTATCTGTTTTCAAAAATTAGGACATCGTGTCACTGTGCTATTGAATATCATTACAATATGTCAATATTGTAGTTAATTGCACTCTAAGATTTTGAAAATAATAATAATAATAATTTAAAATACAAGTTTGTTTCAGTAAAGTCCACTATAAATGCAAGACAGACATTTATTAGCAAAATATCACCGCTTTTGTACTAAAATTAGAAGAAATATGTAATACTAATACTACTCATAGATATGTATGAATTTTATTTTCTGATGATTAGATTAGTAGTTAATTTAGTAACGCGGAAATAACGTTGAGTGTCTTTGACAATATCGAATTTGTAGGCATAGAGTGTCGAACAGCGAAAATAAATAAAGTGAAGACATTTTATCGACATAAAAATAGCAATAATACTATTCATCTGTTAATGTCTTAACTGATGATGTTGTTGTTATAGTTTTTCTTGCGTTTTATTGGAACGATTCACCATGGTTTGCTATTGAACATACGTTGTTACAGCATCAGCACTTATATGCGCTCTGAGGATATAATAGATATATAATAAAAATAATATATGTCAGAAAGAGGCTGATATTGTAAAAAACAGCAGCAAACATATAAATCGTTGCGCCGAGAAAAGGTGCTATTTTGTTCCAAATAATATTTCGCCGCAACGGTTCACATTTGTAGCATAAATAACAATGAATGAGTTTTGGAGAAAATATTAACTGGAAATTTGTCTATTATTGTCAAATAGACGAATCTATTAAATCGACTTATAAAAAAGTTCTGCAGTTCTATCTGCAGTTAAAAATAAATAATGTCGGTTATATATTACAATTCGACTGTTTATAAATTTAATTTTTGATCCATTGATTTTTATTTTCGCACAGTCATTTTTTACGGGTGGTAATGAAACCGGTTACTTATTTTTTTTCAAATCACTGACACTTTCATTGGGTTCTCGCAAATTTTTTTCGCCCATTTTTTTTTTGGAGAAAAATGTTAACAACAGCTCTATTCCAATAGAAAATTACCAAAAGGGTATTGATAAAAATTACGTGAATACCATGAATTCGATGTTTGCTTCTATTTGATCAATAAACCGTTTGATTTAGTCGCATTTCTTATAGTTTAAATGTAAATATTTATAGGACATTCGCAATTAAATGTATTTTAACAGTTGTTAATATTTACTGTAGTTGAAGCACATATGAAATTTTGAAATAAACACTTCCACACACACAAACACACTTACACTATCACACACGTTCAATTTAATTTATTCAAATTCGTAAAATGATTTCAATGCACATTACTATCATAAGTGTGACAACAAACCAAATTCTCCTGTTGTGTTTCGCTGAGAGCTATTTCATCTGAAATAACAAAATAGAGTATCTAAAGCGTCAAGCGTACAGAGTGCACACGCAAAGCAACAACAAAAAAATACGTAAATAGGAAATTGCCTGAGTCAAAAAATTCAGTTTTGGTTGAACCGTTGTAAATTCAAACACAAACTAATTTCATTGGCATGACGATAGTTTGGCATCATCCATTTGGCCATGGCTAGTGTTTCATTGTCTTCACACACAAAAAAATACGTTGAAACTGAGTATGAATTATTTGTGGTGCTATTTTGTTTGTTCTTTCTTTCTACTACACATTCAACCAAAGACTCGTGCTCACTACGCAATAAATTCTAACTGATAAAACCAAATGGATTGAAGTATACACTATACGTGTGAGTATGAAAGAGTAAATAAAAATCATTCTTGGTTCGCGTTACTGCTTCTCCTGCTGCTTTTGAGTGTATAGGTGTGTATGCTTTAAAAATAATGCATTTGTGATTGTCTGTGGAATTGGATAATATTCACAGTATATGACTTCATGAAAACCGGGCTGCTTCACTGAGTGCAACACATACAATATATTTTACATACTAGTATGTTATGTGAGGCATGTTTGAAATAAGCCAAGACAATTTGAACTTTCTCAAAGCAACGTGAATGGGATATAAATATGCAGAAGCAAATAAGTAAACATACACATATTTTACACCTCTCTATTTCTGTCTCCCTCTCTCATCCTCTTTCTTTTTCACTTGCACACCGAACACAAACTCAATGAATATATGTAAGCAAAAGTGCAGGAAAAATACGATTGCATCAACACTGTAGTAAGCTTTCTGCATCTCTATAACACCGAACAGGCGAATGAAATAGTGGTTCGTGTTATTTTCATGTGAATGAGAGAAGAACGTTTCGCTCAAATAGCTGGTGTGTTTGCCCATGCAGAAATAATAATAACCATAACGAGAAAATCGAATGTTTAACATACTAATAAAAATTGATTATTACAAACGATTCATTGCGGCTGCAACATGGCAAACAACACATAGTCCGGGGCCGTTATGCTTTGGTATTTGTGGTCTACACTCACACTATTCCTTCATTTGGTTATGTATTTGCAGACCGTTGGTTGTATCAGCATTCATTTCTTCTTTCTTGTTCTCGTCTTGTGACTTGAACAACAGAGAACAACGTTGCTGATGGGAATCTTTTATAATATTAAAATGTACCATTGTACGGATACAACATACAACACAAAAATTAAAATGAACTACCCGTTTGAATCACCGTTTCCCTATGAATGTTTCTATTGTTGAACACGTTAAATAAATTTATGGTATGTAGTTTAAAAAATATTATTAATGATGTTCTTTGCAGTGACAAAACACACTTGATTTGTCTTTTATGTTTTATATATTCTTATTGTATGTACTGAATGCTTTTCCTGTTAAACATACTTAAAAACCTGTTTGCTGGTCACGAGACTTTAGAATGCAGTTTAGAGACATGATTTTTTCATTGTACCTTCTTTTAAGTTCAATGAATTTTTTTATCCATTGAATCGACAAATATTAACGAACTGAAATAAATAAACTACACATCATTTTTATAATAATTGAGAACACAAGTTCTCGATATCACAAGTTATATATTTATTACAGGTTATTTGTAATTTTAATCACTCGATATCAATGTCATTATTTTTGTACTATTATTTATTTGCTTTAAATATTCGATTACACCATTTAAATAAACACGATGAAAACGTTTCTTCATGTACAAGCGAATGAAACTTAACAACATTAGAAATGCAAAGCCATGTTATATTACATTGAAACACTTAACATTTTAAAAATTGAGCATTTTAAACTTATAAAATATTTCAGAAATTGAATTACGTCGAAAAAAGTTAACACATTTTCACAAAATAGAACAAAAAAATTGAATATTGTTTACGCTTTTGAAAATGAATTGAAATATTTTAGTTAAAAACGTTAAAGATGATTTACAAATGAAGTAAAAAAAATGCGCGACAGCCAATGAAATATGAGTTGAGCATGAAGAGTTTATTATTAAGAGTTTATCTGAAGACAAGAGCTATTGAATGGACGAAAGAATGAGACACCGAACAACACACGAAAATGGTAACCACCTGGTAGATGTATGCCACTACACACACACTATCATATAAATAACCGTTCTATTGATATATGTATATAATAGAATGTGTGTTCTCACTTTGTTCAATCGTAGCATACAACTACCTCAATTTGTGTGAAATTAGGTATCCACCGGAGTTCTTAAAAACCAAATTCACTACCATCCGATTTAATCGATTAGAGTTAGAAAATTAAATGGTCTGATGAGAATTAGTACTTGAATACTTAAGAGATTTAAATACTAATGAAGTGAACTCATTTTCATTTATAAGTATTTATGGCATTTACATTTTCACTATAACTGTGGATTGTTTATATTTTTTTCATTTTGTCAAATTGAAATATTCAATCTTTTGAATATAAAATAGTTTGATAAAATACAGAACAATTCTTGCATTCTTAAATCTGTGATGAAATGAATTTAGCACATTTACCATATTTTGCAATCATATCGGGTCTCTTTGGAACAGCAGCAAGTGTATTTGGTAAATTGATACAAATCAAAGATATTCAATTTGATTCAAACCAAACGGTAAGACAATCATTCGTTTTGAATGAAAATATGTTTATAATCCTTTACCGAAATGGTTTTGTATTCGATTCGTACAGGACTTGTTTTGGAGATGCTCGTTTAAAGCAGTCTATATTTCGCTTATGGTTCTTTGTAATATGTTTGTGTGGACATTTTTTGTGAAATCACTTCATCAACCTGGTGGATCGATTGTTGCAACTGTGACTAGTACAGCAACTAGCTATTGTTTCTCGGTATAAAAAATTAAATTTCAAAGCCATATTTATAATTTTAGATTTGACATTTTTAGGCGATAATTGGAAGCTGGATTTTTCACGAGACAATATCATCTGTCTGGTGGCTGGGTTTTATTTTCGTTATTACTGGTTTATTGTTTGTATCGTTGGATATTAATGATTGATTCATCAATTCATCAATTGAATATGTTTTATTTTATAAATTTACTTCAAAATAAATGTCTTTTTTACATGGAAAATTCGTTGAAGTTCTTATTGAAAGCGCCACCTTTTGTAAGCAATTTGTTCGATAATATGATTAACTTCATGACATTAATGCGATGACATTATCGCCATTTTGAAAAGTTATACTAAAGACACGCTCATATCTTCCGGTAGATTGATTCTGTCTCTTTCTTCATTTGGTTCGTATCGATATCGATGCGGTATTCGTTTAACTTCGGATTGCTTTACATTTATTGCAAATAAAAGTGTGATTAAAAGTTTGAATTCATTGGTGTTTAGTGATATCAAACAATTAAAATGGCCAAGAAAAGAACAGAAGAGAGAAATGATGAAAATGTAGATGGTGAAGAGCCCTGTTTTGATGATCCAGAAGATTTTGTTGATGACATATCAGATCAAGGTGCGTATTATTATTATTTTTAAATGCTCAAATTGGTTACGTTTGAATAAAAATACTGTTTGTGAGGAAAATAAAAATTATCGGTTTTGCTGACAGCGTGGCATCCATTGATATTCATTAGTTGTGCAAGCATCGCACATTATATTTGTATATGTGCGTGTAACTTAACCTAAAAATAAGCAAAATCTACTGCATGAATGCAAAAATGAATGACAAATTGATACATACGAAATCGTAATTTTTTTTTAAATTTTTATTTTTAGAACTGTTGGGTGATCTGTTAAAGCAACGACCAAGTGAAACCGATGGTGTTGAAAATGTTGTAATTGTTGACAACATACCAAAAGTTGATCCGTCGCGTCAAGAAAAATTGAAAACCGTCATTCACAAGCTATTCTCAACTTGCGGTGAAGTCACCAACACTTTCTATCCCCTTGATGATGAAGGCAATACGAAAGGCTACTGCTTTTTAGAATATAAAAATGCTGAAAATGCCGAAGAAGCTGTAAAAACTCTGCACAACCATCGTTTGGATCGTAAATTTACATTTGCTGTGAATTTATTTACCGATTTTCAAAAGTACGAGCATAGACATACTTGCTTATTGACTCATTTCATTTTCTATTCTGTTCCATTACTTATTGATTAACTTCCATTCTTTTCCTCTGATCCCTAGGTACGAGCATATACCAGAGAACTGGACTCCACCAACACCTCAACCGTATAAAGTTCAAAGCGATTTGTATACATTTTTAACTGAACAAGATGCTTATGATCAATATTGTGTAGCTGCTGAAGGCCCACAGAATGGAGTGCAAGTGCAATTTTGGCAAAACACGTTACCCGAACCAACAATCTTGGAAACTAGAGAAGTATGTAGCGGTTTTGTGAGATAAAAATTAATAAAAAGAAATTGAATTATTTTTCATTTTAAATTTCTTAATTTACAGCGATTCACCGATACGTTTGTAAAATGGTCACCTCTTGGCACGTACATTGTGACTTTCCACAAACAGGGTGTTGCCATTTGGGGTGGTTCAACGTTTACACGAATCAATAAATTTCCCCAAGCTGGTACACAATTTGTTGATTTTTCGCCTTGCGAAAAATACTTGGTAACATATGGTCCAACGGCAACTGGCCAAAAGATTATTATTTGGGATATTCGTACCGGTCAAGAAAAGCGTTCATTTGTTTCTGAGGGAAGTGCCAGCAATATGTCAATGTTCCGCTGGTCTCATGATGACCGTTATGTGGCTCGTATGGGCGATGAAGCCATTCATATTTATGAAACGCCTAGTTTTTATTTACTGGATATGAAATCGATTAAAATCCCGAAATTGCGAAATTTCAGCTGGTCACCAACGGATAACATCATTGCATACTGGGTGGCAGAACAAACAGATGTTCCAGCCAAAGTGACACTGATGAAAATACCGAGACTTGAGGAAATCCGTAATAAAAATTTATTCAATGTAGCTGATTGCAAAATTCATTGGCAAAAGAGTGGTGACTATTTGTGTGTAAAGGTCGATCGTTTTTCAAAATCAAGAAAGGACAAAAAAGATTCCGATGTCAAATTTTTGGGCATGTTCTACAACTTTGAAATATTCCATATGCGCGAAAAGGATATTCCAGTCGATTCAGTTGAAATCAAGGAGATGATTTTGGCATTCGCATGGGAACCAATTGGTACCAAGTTCTCCATCATTCATGGCGAATCAAGCAGTGCCAACGTTAGTTTCTATGAAGTAAAAAAAGGCCAAAAAATAAGTTTGGTTAAAAAATTGGACAAAAAACAATGCAGTCATCTATTTTGGTCTCCACGCGGTTCATTCATTGTATTAGCTAATTTAACGATGGGCACCTTTGAATTCGTTGACACCAATAATGATTTCATTGTTATGAATTCCTGCGATCATTTTCGTGCTTCGGACGTTGAATGGGATCCAACTGGAAGGTATTGTGTAACTGGCGTCAGCGCATGGAAGGTTAAGGAAGATAACGGCTATAATATGTGGTCATTCCAAGGAAAAATCATGAAACGCGTAATGCTGAAAAACTTTGTTCAATATTTATGGCGACCACGACCACCAACGCTGCTTACCGAACAGCAGCAAAAGGAAATCAAAAAGAACCTCAAAAAGTACTATCCACAATTTGAGCAAAAGGATCGCTTACGCATGACACGTGCATCAAAAGAGTTGCTCGAGAAACGAGCCACATTGCGTGAACAATTCATGGAATATCGTAACAAACGGATTGAAGAATGGAAAGAGCAAAAACAATCCAGAATGGCATTACGTAGCCGTATGTTTTTTTATATTATAATCGAATTTCACTTCAAAGCAAACAAAAACAAAATCGCTTCAAATCAATTAATCTATGGTTTCTTTTCTTTATTTCAATTTAGATTTGGACACAGATGAATTAAATCGTGACGAACTTGAAGAAGAAATTGTTGAAGTTTTGATTAAAGAAGAGACAACTATCATCGAATAAACGCTAGTAGAACAATATCTCGAAAATTGAACGTCACAAATCGAAAACAAATCGGCGTTTTGCATTCAGAGCGATTTGAACTATAATTTAATCTATGCGTTATTGTGTGAAAAAGAAAAGCCTCTTAAAATTCAAAAGATAAATAAAGGACAATTAAAAAAAAAAATACAATAGGTAATCACAAATCAAGTTTAATTCAATTTGTTACACATTAAACGTGTAGGAGACGACTTTTTTCATAAGACCATTTCAACATTTCACCATTTATTGAATTTTAATCCATTTTTTTTAATTATTTTTTTTGGGAAATACAGTCGACTCATTACAACCGCTCCATTATAAATACAATAATAAAGCAACATACAAAAACAAGATTGACATTAAATAAGTCTATTTTGCTATCTCGATATAATAGTCTTTTTATTTAATTTGATTTGATACAAAATCAATTGTTTTATTTTTCGTTGACACCAGACTTCGGCGTTAATCAAAAACGTGAATAATAAATCATGGCATTTTCAAATTGATTGTCAAGTTAATAAGTTAATCAATTAACAGTTTTCTTGATTAATTAATCACCAAAATGACATTAATCAAATAATTTCTTAATTAAGTCTTGATTAACGTCAAAGTTTTTGTTTTCAACGTAAGAATATAAGAAAGCAAGCCGCTTGCTGTAAGCGTGATATTTATGTTATAATTAAAGGTGATGAAAAATGAAAAATGCAGAATTATATTGAAATGTTCATCATATTTCGGTTTTTTTATTTTTACAGTGAGCAGTGAACTCCAAATATTTGTGAAAATTCTGAAAAAAAAAACTAAAGTAAAAATGCATCAAATTTTGAAACTAATTGAAACTTATAACAAATTATTTCGTTTTTTAAATTCTTATATTTACTAAAAACTATACGCATATTTTCTGTCGTCAGCTATTTGCCAACTACTCAAATCAAACTTCATACAATCATTTATTTTTTTGCAAAATTCAACGAACTATTAGTTCGAAACTAATGTTTTTTTTTTTTTTTTTAATAAAGTAAAGCAAATACAACATAGCATTATTAACGTGTAGTACACGAACATGAATTGATGGACGGCTGTTGTTACTACTGCTAGAACTTGCATTATTGCCTGAGCTCATAGTATTATTGCTTCCATTGCTTGAATATTCACATTTTTTATTTTGTGAACGCCAACAAATGTATTTCTCATCTGTTCCCAATTTCACAATCTCTACAAGCAATCGAATAATTGCCTTTGTTGCTTCCGTTTTTAGGTTCGGTTGATGATGCATTAATTCATCCATGGCGTTGGATTTGACAACCAAGATTTGCTGCAGTATCACCAATTGGGTCGCTACTTCGTCGCCGTCGCATTGCACGATCGATAAAATCCAAAATCATGGCAAATGAATAATGGATGTTAGTGATCGTAGGGCGGCTCGATTGGTTTGTCGCATTTCCAATAGTTCAACTAATTCTTCTAAGAATCCTGGATAAAACAGAGTGTTTATATTATCTTGTAATGAATTGGAATGAACAAGCACGGACAAAGCTTGCAGACGATCCAAAACAAATTGCAGTCGGGTCTCATAATCGTGAAATGCCAACGAAAGTCGTA